AGGTAAAGAGAAGCAGAGAAGTGGACAGAGAATTAAATTAGTCAGAGAGCTAGAGAAATGTTCTTGAAAGGATTTCTTCTTGAGACCTCTGATCACTCAGCTCTTTCTAGGATAAACAGCCCAAATCTCAGTTCCTCATTCAAGATCTATAAGCAACTCTTCCCTTGTCTTTGTCATTTATTGCTCTTTTAGTAAAAAAAAAAAATTATTTTATTTTATTTATTTTATTATTATTATTATTTTATTTGTTATAGGGCATGTGCACCCACTAAAAAGAGAGAGATTGGGACCGGTAGGAGGAGTGGTGGTTAAGGGCGCTGGATTCTCACATAGCCCATCACAGTTCAAGTCCTGGATCTGGTGGCTTGCTTTCTTGCTTTCCCTTTCTCTCTATGTCTCTATCTTGTCAAATTAAAAATAATAACTAATGAAATTACATAAATAAATAATTCTTTTTTTTTTCTTTTCTTTCTTTTTCTTTTTTTTTTTTTTTTTAAGAGAAAGAGAGAGAAGGAGAAAGTGAGAAAGTAAGCCACCAAGTACAGGATTCACACATGGCCAGCCATGTGGGAGTCCTCCACTCTCCTTTCAGAATTTGAAACGCACATGTACCTGGTGTGAGTTTCAAGCTGCCAGGTCTAAGACTCGAACTACAGTTGGCCGTGTGAGAGTTGAGTGTCTCAACCACCACGCCACCTGCTGGCCTCCAAGTTACAGCTCTTTTGTTCCAGTCAAAATTATAGGCCATTCCTGGGTCCTTTCTTTTCCAAGATCCTGAACCAGAAGGGTTCTGAATCCCTCCCTTCATTAATATAGAAATGCTACGTCCTTCCAAAGTTCATAGTTTACAGATTGTCTTCTTCTAAGAAACTTTCCTTGATTACCTCTTATCAAACCTTGAGTCTCTTCTTCCCTCCTTACTGGGGGAGGAGGTTCTCAACTCCACCCACCTATGAATGGGCTTCCAATAAATAGACTCATATTCCTTGACTGAAGAATGTACACCCTCTAAAAGAAAATCTTGTTTCTTTTGTCAAATATATTTAGGAAAATTATAAAAAGGTTAGGACCTGTGTTAAGTAAATAAGTAAACTCTTTTGTTTAGTACGTTTTCACTGGGTTTTGTGACTGTTTTTCAATTGCTCTTCATTGGTATTGATAATCACCTTGGCTATTTCCTAATTTCATAGACTCTAATATAGATTTTTCTCTCCAGTGTTTCTTTCTTTGGAAAGTAACCTTGACACAGTCTCCGCAAGCAGTGACCCAAACCTCCTCCCTAAGCACTACAGCCAGCCAGGATCATAAATGGGTCCTCCTGGCGTGTTCAAGTTCATATGACTAGGATCTGAACCTGGGGCCTCACAGGGGTGCAGCATCTACCCTACCAACTGCACCAGCACAAGTGGGCCTCTAATACAGTGTCTAAAACAACATAGAAAGAATTGAGTTGAACCACATAAAAATGCTGTGTTTAACAGGTAAAGCACAGTTCAGTTTCAACAGTGTCCTATGATTTGACTTACTACCTATTATCAAAACTTAATCAATAAATGCTCTTAAATAAATAGGTCTTTTTCCTCAGGACGATTATTTAGACACTGCTCCACAATAGTTAAGTCTTTCTCGAAAGCCTGTAGAAGTGTCTACCAAAACTGATCAAAAGATCCAGTGCTTTTTCCAAATGTTAAATTTGTATTATAAAACAAAACATTATACCGTGTAGCTGAAATAATAAAGACTTTTAGGACACTTCTAAAAATGCAACAAAAAAGGAGAATGCAAGTTGAAGAACAAAATCCTGCACTTACCTTCTTCTGTAGGATTAAACCCACAGATGTCACAGATACAACGAACCCACTTGTTCATCTCCTCCTCACTGTCTGCTACCAAGTAGAAAATCCGGTCAATAGTGTTGATATCAAAAATGTAGCTGTTCTCAAACTCTTTTTTGTTAAATGTCAATCCAGCATCAACTTGCTGGCACAAATTTAAATCAATAATACGGATAGGCTTCTTGGCATGATCATTTTTGTAATACTCCAAGACATCTGGATCTCCAGTTAAACGGCCACTGCGTAACACAAACCACCTCCTCTTCCATGCCTAGGAATGAAATAAAAACATTTAGCATTAATTTGAGAGAAATTTCTCCAGAAGACACACATGTATATCAAACCAACGCTATAAATACAATGTCTACAGAAAGCTGCAGTGTTTGTTTTCATAGGATAATCTGCCACTCTGAAAAGAAAGGTTAATGACACCTCACAGCTTAGTAATGTATACATATATTTAGGATCTTCTACGAAATCTCCCACTTTATAATATCAAGTCAAGAAACCAAGAAAGGTTTGTTTTTTATTAAGTATATAAAAGTAGGGCTAGCTAGTGGCATGGTAGTTAAGGTGGCTGGATCCTACATGGCTGACTCTCAGACCTGGTGGCTTGAAAAACATGCTGGATATGTGTACGTGCATGCCCAAGATCTTGAGAAGAATGGACTGCAGTGAGGCCATCTGCCCTAGTGGTGCTTTCTTTCTTTTTCTCTCTCTCTGTCTCTCTGACAAGTACCTACACACTAAAGCAAAATAAAAAAATAAAGAATCCAACATCTGGTGGCTTGAAAAACATGCTAGATCTGTGTACGTGCATGCCCAAGATCTTGAGAAGAATGGACTGCAGTGAGGCCATCTGCCCTAGTGGTGCTTTCTTTCTTTTTCTCTCTCTCTGTCTCTCTGACAAGTACCTACACACTAAAGCAAAATAAAAAAATAAAGAATCCAACATCTGTGCCTGGAAACACAATTAAGCCTTACTTGTCTTTGAGGTTCTCCCTCAAGGACAACCATTTGGATGGAAAAGAGGTCTATTTTAGCAAGTCTTAGCCACTTACTAAGAGACATTCTATAGTCTAGACTGAGCATGTGAGGTAAGGGCACCCAAAACAGACACGCCAGGAAGTGGAAGGACTGAGAAACAAGACATTTTATGAAGCCTGAAGGAATCCAATATTCTTACTGGCCACTGTACACTTCTGTTCACTTGGAGTTCATGACTAAGCCCCATTCACAGTGTCTCAATTCTTTTGACGTTTTGGAAAAGGATAACTAGAAATAGCATATCCCTTTGCAAGTGATAACTTGGATAATGACAACCTTATGTTTATGATATTTCCAGAAATTTTATTCATAATAGCATCCAAGTTTGGTGCTCTATCCACAGCCTAATCAGACCGAGAAATGCTCACAATGTTAGTACTGTTATCAGAGGTCCATTTGCCCACACTGTTATTTCTGCCTTCATTTAACATACATATCAGCATAGATAAGGAAATATCAAACTTAAAATTACCAAAAGCAGTATGGTATGGCAAGACAGCGTCTCCATTTTTTTTTTTTTTTTTTATGTTTTATCAACTTGGGCATACTTAACACAAAAAGTATCACAGTGTTAACTAAAAATGGCTTCATTTTTATCTTGAGAAAAGCATGTGAGCCAGGAGAAAAAAGGATCTGTAAGTAAAACTCACACACATTTCTTCAACAGATGTTTTCATCTTAGCCCATATCTTCATCGAATTTTATAATTCTGACATGATTTGATTTTGCATTGTCGTTTTCTGTTAGAGTTGTTAGGGGGCTAACAGTAGTCTGGATCAGAGACAGAGAAAATGGAAACGCAGGAGCTGAAGCAACCACAAATCAGCCCGCCCACTGTCTGCAATAAAATACTAATAACAGTTAATTTGGGTGACACCTTAAAGTTTAATATTTTAAGAGATTTTAAAAATTGTATCCACTCAAAACTGAAATATGTTAAGAAGAAGATTAATTTGTTTATAACTTATTAAGTTATTGATCATTTCATTTAGACCAGGGTTCTCTGACCTCCAGGCCACAGACCAGTACCAGAACTGGGCCACACAGCAGGAAGTGAGCAGTGGGTGAGCGAGTGAAGCTTCACTGGTATTTACGCTCTATGGCAAAAACTTAAAAAAAAAAAAAAAAGGCACAGAATTGTGAAAGTTCTGAGACTATTACATAGGCTACACTACAGAAATGCTTTCAAAACCTCTTCCACTTGGGGCAAAAAGACATACATGATAAAATAAACAAAACTAAGATAACTTTACCAAAATACATGCACAAAACACCCTGGGAAAATGACAGAAACAGAAAAAAAGGAAAGTGTCCTTTCGCTACAGCTTAGGTGTCACTGTAACTTCCGGTTCACTATCTCCACCCCAACTCACCCCAATCCATCCCTTTGCTTCCTCATTGAAATCACATCATTAAAATTCCAAAAGCCCTTAGAAACTAAAAGAAACAGCCAAGAAACGAGTGGCAATGGATCGAAGAGCACCAGGACAGATTGAGCTAGTGATTACAGAGCCGCGTAGTCATTCTACAAGACGCGAACCCTTACAGCAGGAAATGACAGCATAACACAGAACTTAGCCAAGTAGCACCTGCCACTTATTTATTTATTTTCAACACGGTCCAAATGTGAATGTTTGTCTCAGTCACAAAATGAGTCACTCTCATTGAATCTGGCACAGATTAAACTGGAAAACAAAAGCAATTACATAAACTACACACTTTAATAAGGCAGATACAAAGGTTCTCTGGATTATGGTACAAAGCGCAATTTAGCCACAGAATAAAGCTTGATGCTCGACAAAAGAACTGACATCAGCACCCTTGCTAATCACAGCACAAAAGCTCCTCTATGTTTTGTCAGGGCACAAAATGGGCCCACATAAATCAGTCTTTGTTATCTGAAAATATCTGGGATTCTTAAAGTTTGTCCTATTTTTATCCTCGCTGCCTTGGTAGCCCCAGAGAAAGCTGGATGTGGCCTTGTGATTCCTGCAGGGCTGTGATAGACGAGAAGGACAAGTTTGCTAGAAACCTTCAAAAACTCAAAGCAATTAAAAATTTAAAAAAAAAATTATTTAATTTTATTTATTACCATTTTAAAAATTTGGCCAGAGAGAGATAGAGCAAGAGAAACAGAAAGTGAGAATGCAAGCTGCCAGGTCTGGGACTCGAACCAAGGTCAACTATGTGGAAGTCAAGCGACTTAACTACCACGCCACCTGCCGGCCCCACTCAAAGCAATTTTAAATAAAACTGATGTGAAAAATCATTTGAACTCTTAGACTTCCACTACTGGCAAGTAAAGAAGAAAGTGGAATTCACAAGAAGTATGCACAGCTGAGAATCACAGAAGTGTATTTTGTTGTCACTGCTTACATGCAATAGGCACTCCAGTTTTCAGTTGAATAAATGATGCAGTGAATGACTTCATCGGCCAGGTTTGCAATCTGAAGTAGCTTAAAAGCATCCCTGCACTTCAGTGAGGCTCTCAGAGGTTGGCCAAAGGGTTCCCTGTTCCTACATGAGGGTTCCAACACCCCTGAGCTTGCATAGTCTCTCTACGGTCTTCCAAATATAGTTGTACAGTTTATCGAATACAGTGTTTCTGGGGAAATTCTCTGATAGTAGGTCTGTCCTCTGCTCAGTGGCTGCCCATTGAGAGTTTACAGCCCAACCTCTCTGACAGGGCGTCCCAGCACCGCAACAGTTCTGTTCTTGCCTCTGTCTTCTAACCACATTGGAAATGCTTCAGTCTCTCAACACTGCTCAGTCCTGTCTCTGGCCCTGACATACACTGCCTCCTCGGCACATCATCTACCCCCTGCATTCAGCTCAGCCCTCTTTGAGATACTGTCCTTGTGCTGGCTCCAAGCTCTGCATTTCTTCCTCATTCCCAGTCATGTGTGACATCCCTATATCTGAATTTCTTTTGGGCCAGAGCCCAAAGAAAAGTATCTTTTTACCTTTCATCTTTCTTTTGCTATGGCATAACCCCAAGGAATGCTTAGTCAACATCTGCTGAATATGCAATCAAAAATGATCTGAAATACAGATGAAAATATGGATGTTCTCACACTATCTATGTACTGTGGAATATGACATGAAAATAAACTGGCTGGCCCATCTGAAAACTGTCAGGCAAAAGTTCCCCTTTCAGACCAGCTGGTGGAATGAGTTAAGGTAGGTGGATCCCACATGGCTGACTCCAGTTTGAGTCCTGGATCCAGTGGCTTAAAAAACATGCCAGGCATACGTGTATTTGTGTGTGCATGCCTGAAATCCCAAGAGGAGAATGAAGGAAAATGGACTGTGGTGTGACCATTCGCCCAAAGGGGGATGCTTTCTCATTTTCTCTCTCTGTCTCTGCATCTCTCTCTGGTGAGCACACATGCCTAATAAATTAAATTAAAAAGAGCTCCCCTTTCTCCACATCCTAGTCAGCTCTTGTTACCCTAACTGCAGTAAGGTGATACTTCATTGCGGTTTTGATTTGCATTTCTCTGATGATTAGTGATACTGAATGAATCTTTTCATATACTTGTTAGCTATGTGTATGTATTCTTTTGAAAACCGTTCAGGTTCACTGCCCATCTTTTAATGGAGTTATGTGGCTTTTGCTGGTGAGTTGACTTCCTTGTATATTCTGATTAATAATCCCTTGTCAAGATATAAAGCTTGCCCTGATTTGATGGCTATACATTATAACTGTGTACTGAAAAATCACATAATACCCCATAAACACGTACCATTAGCATGTTAATTAAAATCATAATAAAAACATGCAAAGAAAAATGTTCATGTGCACATGTATCTAGTATATCTTAATGGATATATATGTCTGTGTGTATATATGTATGTGTGTGTGTGTATGTGTGTGCATATATATGTGTGTGTGTGTGTGTGTGTATATATATCTACCTATATAAAAATGCCCAGTATAAAATTCTTCTGACTTTGCTGTGTGGTATGTATAAACATTTTTAATGGTAAATTGTTTGAAAAAAATGAACCAGATATAGCAGGTAAACAGAATACGGTCATTTCTAGGGTAATTTTGAAATAGCATATCCAAAACTTCTAGTAAAGTGCTTACTGTAGAGTCTAAATTAATATTTCTGTTACTTCATATACACATACAAATGTAACTCTCTGCTTACTAATGGATTTGCTATAGTGGGGGAAAAAAAAAGTTGACCTAATCAGTGTTTCCACTGAATGAATATA